CAGGTGGCGTTGACTGCTGTTCACGAAGACGAAGAGGACATGCGATTCTGTTTCGAGAAGCACTCAAAGCACATACTGTATTGTGGTACCCAGGTGTTGCAGACACGGTACTATCAAGGGAAACAGGTCAAGGTGAATAATTACATTTATCCATGCTAACCTCATTGCGCTCAATAAGTTGATCGTGACCATACTTAGGGGTGTGGAATGTTTGTTTCTCATGAGAAAGGCTGTAAACCAGTGATTTCGCGCGCGGCAGAATTGCCAAATGATTATCCCACGGCGTTGGAAGGGGCCACAATTACCCGCACAATCCCCCCCCAGAAAAGAAAGAATAAAAAGGTTTTCGTTCTGCCAAGTCCTTTTTCTAGTGACTAGTAGGCAGATGGCCCCCTGCCAACTGGTTCTGCGTGCCAAGAAGTGATATGCTGCAACTTATGGAGAGGCGTCCTCATTACAGCTCCATGGTGGAGTGTTCCGTATTCTTCCCAGCGGATTTATAGCCCAGCAAGGGTACAGCATCATTGCGGAAAACTCATCAGATTGTGGCTTTCGATCGCTGGTTTAGAGGGATCATATTTGGCTTCAAGAAGACTTGCTCCGATCGTTGGTTTCCAATGGAGGTGGTCATATAAGTCCTGATGAGAAATTTTTTGCTTATCGATTTGAAAATTTCACCAGCGCTACATAGCCCTTGCCCATCCCCCCCCTCCACCCCACCGATCGCGGTAGTTAGCGATGAGGCAAAAGCGGACTAATTGTGGTAGTTCATCAGTCGTCTCTACCCTGTGAGAAGGGGTCATATTAAAGAAATTCAGGGGTGGTCGCACTGAGACCGCCACTTCACCCATCCCGATGCTGTACCCTGGGCTCAACCATCATTTTTGACATTACTGGCTTGATATAGTGTTGCTTGACTGACACAACTCAACATTCAAGGCGATCGTACTCAGAACGGCATACGCAACTCTTAAAGGACAACTGGTACGATCTATTATGTATCCAAAGCCGATCGATTTCCGATTCACGAAGGATCTGTTCAAGGTAAGCTTCATACGTTTTGGTGAGAATTTCAGGGTTCTTTCAGGGTTTCATTCATACAAGGGTCGTTCTCAAGCAGACCTGAATGAATGAATTTCAGTTCGTCGCTTTCCTGTTCTGTATTGCACTGGTTGGATTCGCCTATACAATCACCATAATGATTCGAAGGGGTGAACCAGTCCGAAAAATTATTGTGCGGTCGCTGGACATCATTACAATTGTTGTACCACCAGCCCTCCCTGGTAAGCAACTACTTTTGCTCTAAAAAAGCAAATTTGAAGAAAAACATCTTCGACAATTTGCTGTGGTCAGAGGCGATAAATTGCAAAGTAAACTTAAAGGCACATTCCGCGACAGGCGGATGGGCGGAGTCTCACAAGTATGAGGTATTCGTCGTTAACGGGCTCTTCTTCTTAACCGTATCAGAGCGAGGAGCGCGCATCGCAGACCTAAATATAGCGTAGTTCGCTGCGGACGAAGAGGCGTGTCAGGCGAGATGAGTTTGGTTTGGCTGTGTCAAACCCGTTCTCCATCACTAGTTGAAGCGAGCATGTGACAAGGCTGTATCATCATTCGTTCTACCGATTGTTGCCACATACCTGCTTCAGCAACCGGCAGCGAACGAGCTTGGCGCCGTGGCACTCTCTTGCTGCCAGACACGCCCCTTCGTCCACAGCGAACTAGAGTATGCCTCCCTTACTATTAGGTTGTCCGGAAAGTTCTGCACGTTTCGAGTGTTTCACTTTAAACGATCATAACTTTCTTAACACTCATCGGATTAATCCAAATAAGCACCATTCGAATCAGCACACTTTTGCCAATGTGACAGCAGTCGAGAAATCCCATCAAAGAAAAAACTGGGTGGTCGAGAATTCACGAAATCCACGAAGGCTTTTTTGCCTGGTCCTGATTGATGAAGTATTTTCCAGCAAGGGAGTTCTGAAAATGTTTGAAAAGGTGATAGTCGGTTGGCGAAAGGTCTGAAGAATATGGCGGTTGAGGTAGAACTTCAACCCCCAATTCGTTCAATTTATGGATAGTGATTTGTGAAACGTGTGGGCGGGCGTTGTCATGCAAAAGAATCGGACCCTTTCTTTTGATAAGTGTTGGCTGCAGCTGACAAAATTTTCGGTACATTTCGTCGATTCCTTCACAGTAGGGTTCTGCTGTGATGGTTTGGCCTGGTGATAAAAAGTTATAGTGGATCACACCAGCCGATGACCAGAATCTTTTTTTCGTGAGGGTTCGGCTTTGAAAATTACCTCGGTGGTTCGTCGAAATCCAACCACTGTCCGGAACGTCTCCTGTTATCATACATGACCCATTTTCATCACAGGTGACAATTCGGCCCAAAAACAGGTCGTTTCTGCTGCGCAAAAGCATGTGAAGGGAAAGAAAACCGCGAGACGTGCCAATTTGTGCCGGTCACTCAAATTGCGGGGCACCCACTTGTCGAGTTTTTTCACCTTCCCAATCGTTCCAGAGCATCCGCAACACTGGATTTGCCAACGCCTAGCTTTTCTGCAATCTCTCGAACTGTTTGGGATGGGTCAGCCTCCAAAATCCCCTTAAAATCCTCGTCAGATATTGCTTTAGGTCGACCGCTATGAGGTTCACCTTCAAGGCTGAAATCTCCAGAACGAAATTTGTTGAGCCATTGCCGCACAGTGCTTTCTCTAGCACTATTGGGCCCCCACACCTGGTTAATTTGTTGAGCTGTTTCGATTGCGGATTGCCCCAATTTATAGTCGAAGAAAAAAATCGTCCGAAGTGCTCTTTTCACATGCTTGAAAAAATCTTGAAAAAGGGGTTTCATCAAGCAATGGTGAAACGGCAATTATACCATCAGATAGCGCAATTTCTTCAGGATGTACTACTGAGACGCAAGGGAGAGTGAGTTTTTAATCAGCAATGAATGTACAAAAAATAGTAACACAAAACGTGCAGAACTTTCCGGACAACCTAATAGTAACTGCTCCGCCGGTCATCGCTTATCGCAGAATGTATATTGTGAAATGTGGGCATCGCTTACATAAAGCACTATAAAACAGAATATATAAGTAAGCAAAGAAATATAATGCATCATTCTTATCATAATATGGTACGATATTAGTGTTTTGTTGGAAAAAGCTACTTCTGCTACTATTACACTTTGTAAAAGTCAATAATCACCTTGGTTTCGTTTTTTGCATATCGCATTGTTTCAGCTGCTATGTCCGTTGGCATTATCAACTCCAATCTTCGATTGCGTAAAAAAGAAATATTTTGTATATCTCCGTCGACAATCAACACATGTGGTGCGATCAATGTTGTATGTTCATCCTGGTACTTTTTACAATGATTTCCGGACCGCAACGCATATACTACATAGTAGTAGAAAGGGGGTGAAGGCACACTGTACCTCAAGGCTATGGTCGATGTAACGCGGGCTTTGACCCTTCCCACACTAGTGGGCCAGTCCGTCATATATAGCGGGGGTCCGCTATCGAGAAGAACGCACCATTTCGTGCTCTAGCCGCTAATGCTCAGAGAAATCCTCCCTACCGGCTGAAATGGATTTTTGAAGGCTCCTCGCGGTTGCAAATCGTGGATATTAAGGTCCTATACGAATTTCTAAGTGCTAACTGACTCACTTTGAGGGAAAAGCAGAAGAAACTGTTCAACGCCTCAATTTGTTCGGTGTGCATGTGGTGAGAAAGAAACCAGATAAGCGTCGGTCAGAGGTCACGCGGCAGAGTCGCACTGTAGTTTGCTCACCTACGAGGGCAAAATAATCGATCGCACCGTTGCGAGTAGTCGTTCATTCAAGGGAGTGATACCTGGTGTGGGCGGGGTTTCTGAGCTCCATAAGCCCCAAGCGCTTTCACACGCTCTTTTAAATGGTAAAGGTTGCACTTATTATGCGGCTGCAGGCTTGCGCTTCTCACGCCCGAAAGCGGTTCCACCTCTGACATAATCGAGAACTGAGTCACTGAAGGCAAGGGGAGGTGGGAGGAGGGGAGGGGGCGCTATTGCTGGAGCCGGGTGGTCGTTGTCTAGTGATGACAGTACTGCGAGAGGGCGTACGGCCACACCCCCTCAGCACTTCCCAACGACGTTGACCGCCCACCCTCAGCTATCGTGCTCACTGCCTTTAAGTTACTAGATGCACTGTGTCCCCTCATCGGTGCTAACGTATTTGGGGGGGGGGGGCACGCGGCTCGCGGCGAGTGATGACTCATCGGCTCTTCACTCATTGACATACTTAGAGCGCTAATCTAGCAGCAAAATTAGAATAAACAAACAAGATTCACCGAATACTTGCTGAGAAATCCCACAGAAGCTGAGAACAACAAATGTTTGATCTTTTGTAGTCAAGAATAACGGTCAACATCAAAAAGGCAACAATCGTTGGTAGTTTAGGCAAAATCTTCCATCCTACAACTGTTTCTTCGCACTTTTCAGCGTTAACTGCTTAAGCTTTCAAATATAGCTAGGACGGTGTTATATCCATGTCTTAAACATGAGGTTACTTCTATTTTGCCGAGGAGGAAGCAGAAGAGTCGATGAGTCATCACTCGCCGCGAGCCGCGTGCCCCCCCCCAAATACGTTAGCACCCCCTCATCATTTTATTTCAAGTTCCCATCCATTTAGGCGGATCAAGAAAATTATGTTTCTTCATTGGCAGAATTTCCCTCCTGTTTCCTTTCTCTTCCATATTTCGCCTTCCCTGGTCTGTCAGGGTTTTCGTTCCACCTCGGAAATTTTATTTATCACATTTTTTATGAGTTAGATATTAACCAATTTAGTGCTGCTTCGACAAGACCGGAACGCTTACTGAAGATGGTCTGGATTTTCAAACATTGCGTGGTGTGACGCGGGCGAATGGGGCGGGGTCTCCCACATTTACTGAGGTTTGTAAGCTTACCTGTCAGCTTCTCTGTGAAACAGGTTGATATGCTATAGTCACTTGATTTTAGGAAAAAGAAGAGATGAAACCCAATGATTTGCCGTCAGATGGAGAACTAATTACTGCCATTGCAACTTGCCATTCGTTGACTAAGTAAGTGGCGTGCATGCATTGATCGCATTCGCCGAGACACATTGTGCTATCTTAATAAGTGCGCCACTCCTTATAGGGTGATAAGGAGGGGCGCGCCAATGGGGAAGATTCCATGACCCTCTGTATCCGCCCTCACGATCACCGTAGACTGTCTTTTGGGCTTGCCATATACCAAACTTGTATACGTTTTAGAATAGATGGAGAGCTGCACGGAGACCCACTTGACCTAATTCTCTTCAATCAAACCGGTTGGACTCTGATGGAATCAGCAGACGATGAAGCTGACAGTGAAGTGCAAATCTTCGACAGCATTCAGGTTAGCTAACGATTCTTATTGCGGTACCATAGCTCTTATTAGCGCTGACTGTGCACAGAATGACAGCTTATGCATTCTTTATAAATAGTGGGAAGGCTCACCTGGCTGCACTCCATTTCACGCCCCTTCACGCGCCCAATCGTTTGCAGGGATCGTGGCTGTGCTTCGGTTGGAGCAAGTGTAGCACCATTCATTGAAAAACGGAAGGTTATTAAAGACGCGTCCCGCGTTAAGCGAGATGCCTCCGTGCATTTGGCATCGTTGTCCGCACTCGCAGAGAATATACCACTTTCGTCACTTGAAATGGCGAGATAACGAAGCTAGAGACGCGTGAGTTTTGCAACCGGTGCAACGCATACTGTAACTCTGCAAGACAACGGCTTACAAGCGGAATTGCGTGTGTACATAGCGTTGCCTGGAGCGTCGTAGGGCGATTTCCTATGCTCTTGCCGGCAACTGGCTGCACTTCGAATCCTGCTGATTGGGCTTGTCTGACGTCCGACAAACTCGCGAAGGCGTCGGCTCCACTACAGGGGGCTCTGTTCAGGATATTCTCGAGCGCTTTTCACTTTTTTCTCAACTGGGAGTTACTCATGGGCTACTGATTCCTTATTGAGCGCGGCTACCCATAACACTTGACTGCGGGAATCGTCTTTAAAGGCAGTTGGCACGATAAATCCCCCAAGACGACTAGGATCAATACTCCTGGCAGGATAGAATTCCGCGACCCTGGGCAGGCGCTGCATAGCGGTTTCCCCGAGGAAGGTGCCCTTATAAGGGCCCTATCAAGCCACAACTTTACGTCCCAAACGCCCGCCACGCCCGCCCGCCCACAAATGGACGACCGTTCCTGACGCTCTAATTCATTTGCTAAGCAAATTATGAAGCGAAGGGATTGGTATGAAGCGGCCGTGATGCTGCATGCATATATGGGTACACATATGCAGCCGTATCTTCGGTAGCGGTGATTGGCAAGATGCCTACGGGAAACTCGTCCGAAATCGATTTACAAGTCACTGAGAACGGAGGCTTTTCTTCGCAGGATTTTGACCGTTTCACTCCGTTCTTTCGCCATTTCCCCACTATACAGCCCTACTAGCATTAGGCTAAGTAGGAAACCATCGTGCCAACTGCCTTCAAATACCTCTGTTCAACACGTTCACTTTGCAGTGAATCCGACTCAAGCGATCTGATTGACTTGACTACGGACAACTGGGTAACCCGGCTAGCTTGAAAAAAGAACCTTTTTCAGCCTACTGTAGTGAAACCACCAGCGGGACATGGAGACACCTAGCGGGACATGGAATCCATCCATATCGAACAAGATAACATATTATTCGTCCAATTTCACTTTCAGCGTAGGATCTTCTGGATTTTCCTTTTAAGAAGTGAGTGATAAGTGAACTCTAAGCGACTCAATGCGTAGAGAGCTGGGAACACCCCTAATTTATTTGGTTTTGCGTTGAAATGATAATAAACGTGTCCGAATGGCGCCTTAAAGAAGAAAAAACGGAATTAGTGTGTTATTGTAGTCAAATATACAGGCGTTCTGTCCGGCTTGCGGGGGGGGAGAGGAGGGAGCAACCGCAAATGGTATTCAGTCAAGGACTCATACAGGCCAACCCAGAAACTAGAGGAACATGTAAAAGTGATGACCCGGTAAATGCCAAGGTGGCCTCTGTCCCATTTCGCAAATGGTGGCGGATTCACTCATGGTTGCAGCACTGTTAGTTGGGAAAAAGCAAATGCCACTCACTACCCCCCAAGACAGAGCAAGCGCTCAATTATTCGCCCGCTCTTTTCGGTGGTGCATAGAAAGTTAGCTCTGTTGTCACATCGCCCGTAAATCACGGTGCACAATAAACGCCGCACTTTGTTTTCTGTTGCTGCTAGCTGTCTCATGCTATGTCGACCGTTTAGAGGCGGAGCGAATGCTCGTAGCGGGCCCATACCCCGAGTCATAGACGAAAGTCTTCGTTAAGTCATTTCCCAGTACACCCTAGCTCAGAGGTTTATTTCCCCCTTTATACTAGATCCTGCAGGACCTACATACAAGCCTAGCCATATTGTTGCAACCAGTGCTTTGGAACATTTTCGTGAAACAGCGTACTAGTAACGAAATCTCGTTTATAGCTCCTCTCTCCAACGAATGTCTGTGATCGTATCAAACCCTCGTGATGAGTCAACTCATATGACCCTGTACTGCAAAGGATCGCCGGAAATGGTGCTGACGCTTTGTGATCCAGCAACAGTACCAGATGACTACTTGGTAGGAATTCCATAGTTTCATCTTTAAATAGCATACTTATCACATTCTGCTATGTACAAGGGTGCTTCCACAATTTTTACACTCAATACCACCGTGGCCGGAGAGGGCGTGTCCACTGACAGATAGTAAGCGTTTTGGAAGATGTGTATCGCTGTTGCCGATATAGGACAAGAACGGTGAACTGTAGGCAGCACGTCCGCGCGAATATTTCGTGTCTGCTCTGGACAGATAACACTCCAGCCGCCGCGGGCGCACTAAGTCCGCGAACACGCCCACTCCTGCTCCGGTGACATGGAATTTGCTAGGTGGTAGACATCGGGAAACGACACTATCCAGAAATCTTTGTTGGATCTCAAATCTTGAACAGTTGAACAGAGATCCCATTCACCACAAAATCCAGATGCTTCCATTTCGAACTGATGAACTGTTTTTGAAGGCACAAGTAAACTTATACGCACAACATGGCTATCGATTGATATCCGTGGCAAAAAGGAACTTGGAAATGAACTACGTGAAAGCTTCAAAGGTACCTCGTCATATGGTAAGTGTGGCTCATAAAGTATGACTCTCAGCTCATGATGTATTCCATAATAATGAGAGAAATTCTAGGTCGAGTGCGGTTTGGAACTTTTGGGTCTCGTGGTGATGGAAAATCGGGTGAAACCAGTTACTTTAGGAGTTATCAATCAGTTAAACAGGTATATTTCTTTCTTGCTTAATTTGGTTGAAATCGCCGGAGAGGTGGGACCAATTTTCTAGCACAACTTGGCTGCCCCTACTAGCGCGCGCGTATGGCTGCTTGAAGCTAGATGCTTGCCTGATAAGCTCATCTCTTAGCGGGGCCCTCCCACTCCGCAAGCGCACCGCCGACTGCAGGTTTGAACCCCTTGGGTGGCAACCACTGCTCAGCTTTATCCACTACCTCAGTTTCTAGTCTGCTGTGGCTAAATACAATTCTCGATGAAGTATAATGGCCCCAAGAGCTATCTCTGCAAAGTTTTCTGGAGCTCAGATGCGAACCGGACACGCCCACGCGACCAAACCCCACCCATTTGCCAGCTTTGACATAATGACATCCAGTGATATGTTTATATCATTTATTTCAGAGCTCATATCCGAACGGTAATGGTGACAGGCGATAACTTGCTCACGGCTCTGAGTGTTGCTCGTGAGTGTGGGATCATTCGGCCGAATAAGCTCGCCTACCTGGTCGAGCATCGTACGGACATGTTCGATGATAAAGGACGTCCACTGCTCACTCTTAGGCAGGTATGCATAATAATTTACCTTGATTTTTTTCATGCAGAAAAGCCACAGTGCAGCGCCAAACGCTGTCAAAACGGGTAAGCGAATGTGGCAGGTCAGAAATTTCGGGTTGCGATGGTGAAATTGGAAAGCTGCGGGTGGCGTTGCGTGCGCGGCTTGCGCGCCACGGTCTTACTGATTTGACGTGGAAACACTGATAAGCGGAGTCAACGAGCTAGCAAATGCCGCACGCGGCGAGCTGCTTCCAAGATGTTACCGCAACTTAGATCTTCTCGACCCGCTCGTGGTCGTCTAGTTAGCTGCACTCATTCTTACATTCGCTGTACTCTGTATTGTGTCCATTTCAGGCTGTGTCTAGTTCTGAAAAAACGATTGAGGGTGAGGACTCGTCACAGGCTTCGGTTGAGCTCGGAAAAAGGCACTTTCTAGAGAGCTGCTATCAACTTTCTATCTCAGGTGAGCGCTCTATTCGCAACCCTCCAAGATGAGTCCAAGCTTCTTCGTGACTACCGTAAACCGGGAGAGCAATACCTCTATTTTACTAAGCAGCGAAGGGAACTTTCAAATAAACACCGGAAGGTATTGTATTGTTCACAAGTTCTCCACTGGTTGATCAAGAAGTTAACGGTTAGCATCTATGAATTCAAATGTGTTGATCGCACTGTCCACAAACCGTCGATGCGGGACGTGACTTCAAATCCGAACTCCGTGGTGCCTCTGCACCTCTCCATGGCTGACCTTCTGCATGGCTGAGCGCCACTTGCACCTTTTTAGAAACAGCAGCAATCCTCTTTGACGAGTACGAGGTAGGTAGTCGGTCTGCTGGATAATGCTGAACCTCTTTCGCGGTGCGGAAGTGTATGACGAGCGCGGTGCAGGGTTATGAAGTAAACCGATTTAGCCAACTCACGCTCGAATAGCTCGTTGCACAGAGCATAGCATCATCTTGAGAACCCCTTCAGGGGTTGCGGTTTGTATTTGGTCGTTGGGGGGGGGATCGTGTCTGGTCTCGACAGAATATTTTTTCAGTGAAAAATTTTCCGGTTGTTGACTTTTATGGTTCTTCGCCGTCGTCCAAGTCCTACACAACTACTCGCTATTTTTGATTGCTGGAATGAGTAGTTGATCTTTGACTACCCCCGCGCCTCCTCCGCTCGACGGCTCGCATGAAGTGAGTGGGGAGGAGGACTAGAAAAATTTCTTGAAAACTGGAATAGGGGCTGAGAAGTTGGGGATAATGTTGGAAGGTAGGAGGTGCCATGAGGAAATGGGATCGTGCGTGCCGTAGAAGGAAATTTTGGGGAGAGGGGGGGGATATGAGGCGGGAAGAGAAGGGGTCTTCCAACCCTGCCAGTTCTCTGATGCCGATGCTGTCCTTTTATTAGATTTTACAACATAGTTCATTAATCTCTGTTTCAAAGATTTTACTTGTCACTGCAGAGGAACTTGGGGTCGCTCGCCTGTGTACCTGGCCGTCATTCAGTCGAAGGACGAGAGGGTACAGGAAGGTTCTTGTTGGGGCGTTGGATGTTTCTTCGTCTTCTGCTCACGCGATGCTCACAGCTAGAGAGGGAGGGGCTCATTTAAAGGGCCATGTGCAGCATCGCTGGGGGAGTGTGGTTGTCGCCCACGTCATTGGCGGAAGGGATGAGTGGGCTGTGGACGCACGCCCTCTCTTAGCCCTACCCCAGTGACACTCGTACCAACCTCCCGCCTCCAGCAATCATGCCCAGTGCTTTTGGGGCGTTTTTGACGGACTCTCCTATTTTTTTTTCTGAAACCACCTAGCACTATACTTTGTGAAATGCGTCTCTAATCTGTCACATATTGAAGGTCCAACATTCGCCGTGCTCGTTCACGAGTATCCTGAGTTACTTGACAGACTTGTGGCTGTGTGTGATGTGTTCGCCAGAATGGCACCCGATCAGAAGCAACAGCTCATAAATCATCTCCAAGAGGTGGGTAATCCTGAAACAGATGAGTCTTCCTCATGATTAACCCTCTTTTTTCCTAGATTGACTATACTGTGGCCATGTGTGGTGACGGAGCCAACGACTGTGCAGCATTGAAAGCTGCACATGCAGGAATTTCACTTTCCGATGCAGAAGCTTCAATCGCTGCTCCGTTCACATCAAAGGTGAGGTCAAACCCTGTTCCACCGTCGCTACTCGAGTAAAGTCTTCTTCTCTGGAGATTGCTGATATTCGCTGTGTACCGACGGTGATTCGAGAAGGTCGTGCAGCTCTTGTGACGTCATTCGGCGTGTTCAAGTACATGGCAGGATACTCGTTGACACAGTTTTCCTCCATTATGCTGCTGTACTGGATTTCAACCAACTTGACCGATTTTCAGGTACAGATTACTGCTTTGACCAAAGTTTTTCTCTAGGGTCGCGTTCATACTTTGCGAATCGAGCGATTCGGTCAAGAGGAACCGCGCTTCTCAACTAATCGTTGGACCGCTGCAAGTTTCGGAACAGGTTTCATCCCGCTTGTCAATTGCAGTGGTCCAGAGATTAGCACCAGAGCGCAATCGGTCGAAGTCGCGCGACGGAAACGATAATTGCGCGGAATACTTATCGGCGAGAAATGCCCTTTATATCTCTGAGAACCTTTTTTTGCAAGCCTTCCTCGTATCTTTGCGAGATGCAATCCGTTTCATGATGAAGTGGCCTACTGGAAGTGGCAAGTCTCTCGTGAAAAGTAATTTTTCAGTTCCTCTACATAGACATGTTTCTTATCACTTTGGTTGCTCTATTCTTCGGTAACACACCAGCGAGTGATTGTCTGAGCCCGAATCCTCCACCGACACGCCTTCTTTCGCTCGCTAGCGTCACATCGGTATGCGGTCAACTGATAATCATGGCAATCACTCAGGTAAGTCTTCGCTCCGCAGCCTCCTGTGAGTCTTTGTTATAGGGATATATTATAAGGCTGGGAGTTTCGATGAACTACGGGCGGAGGGAAAAATCATCACTTCTCTCCTATTGACGCGCTTTTTCTTCTTGTCGCCCTTGGTACAGCGGAATCCTCAGAGGGAGGGATGAACCGTTCTCATATCCAGCCCATGCGACCAAGGAATGTGGCCTTAGCATAGGTACTCTGATTCGAAGAGATCTGACCGAAGATGTCACCAGTGACAGCTTAAGTACAACTTGTTCTCTGCTGATTACGGAGCATTTCAGGGTAAAGGGGCTGGGTTCGGCTCTGCATCAGCCTATTCTCTACCAATTGTAGTCGTCTGCTAGTTCCCACATTTGGTGGAGAACAGACTGGCGCCGCGCCAAACCGCTAGCAGGCGACTAAAGTTGGTGGAGAACAGGCTAGCGCCACGCAAACTCCAGATCCACAAGGTGCTCAGCTTCCGCAGCGATAAAAGCTCCAATAGACTATTGGTAGCATGCCCTAGTTTCGAACTTCTCTGTGTCATTTGAGGAGAAAGTCTCCCGATCCACTGCAAAGCCTAAGACTCGCATAGCCGAGAAATCGCTCCTTCTGACCCTGATTGCTGTCCGACGAGAAGCACACATGGCGGTAATGATCACAGATCCCAGACCCGGTTTTCAAGTCAAAGTCACGCTGATAAGCTTTCTGCATGATTCTGAAAATCCCAGGAACTGCTTAAAGGTTGTTAAGAAGCCCTCTACAACAACGGTAGATACATTTGACCTCTCAACTGTCTGTGCATCAGGGGAGTTTTTATTTAAAAATGAGTTAATCAAAATTTAGCAGGTTAATCTAGTAGTTTCAACTGCGCAGATTTAACTTGTGTCCATTAAGCTCTATGTCTTTATGTCAACATCATGGCAACCCTGGTTCATCCCGTATTCAGTACCAGTTGGTGACGATGAAGAGGATAAGAGGAGCATGCAGGTAATATAATAAGGCTAGCTATCTTAAAGATGAGGAGAACAGTTTAAAAATGTTTTGATTTAGGGTACTGCCTTGTTCTGTGCCACTACGCTCCAATACATAACGCTAGCGCTCATCAACAGCAAAGGAGAACCGTACCGAAAACCATTATTTTTCAACCTGCCCTTGTGCATTACTCTCCTGGTGGTGACAGTGGTAAGTCCACTAACGATACAGAAGAGGGTTGCAGCTATTTTTGGCCATAGTAAGGATTCTTGAACGGCGTGGCTTGCGAATGCCTGTGATTGGCGGCCTGAATTGTCCGATCAATCACAGTGCAGGCATACACGGTGTTAAAGGAAATAACCTGAACTGTAAACGCGTAACTTTTTCTGCGGACAACTGGATCAGTCACAAGGGTGCATTAATGATGATTGTCATTCAGGTGTCCCTGTATATAACCCTGTGGCCGCCTGGCTTCATCATCAGCTTTTTGGAATACGATCCAATACCGTATTTCGAGAATCGACTCTTCCTCGTTTTTATAGCTCTCATTTGTGCTGTAGTATCTTATCTCTTCCAGTATGGTGTGGTTGAGTTCTTAATACTGGAACTCCGAGAGAAGTGAGTGCCTTTCAAAGTTTTCGAAGTTATTAGAATTTTGTGACGAAGTTGCCCCAAATCCGCCATCAAATAGAGGTTAGAGGATGCATTTATTCCTCAGAATTGTGTACTTTGCTTTGAGAGTAGTGGGCACATGGTTGGGGGCGGGCGAACGCCAACGCCTAAGTGGAAGGGCTGAGTGGGTGTGTGGCCGAACGCCCTTTCGCAGCCCTTCAGCCAGTGACACTGGCAGCAGCTGCTCCCTCCAGAAATGGTACCCACTGCCTCTGGATCTTTTCTTCCGCAGGTTTCGTTTGGTGAGGACAAGGAGTAAATTTAAAAAGAAGAAAGAAAATTCATAGGAAAAACTATCTGAAAACGAAGATGGTTTGTTTTGGCTATTCATTGAGGTGGTCTCAACGAAATATGTAAATGATCGGAAAGACAGGTCCAGCTGGAGGTGTGGGTGGGACGTCACGAAGGGAAGTTTAGACAGCGTCCATACTTCGCAATGGCGCGCGCTGACGTGCTCCAACGCGCTGTAACGCGCGCCAAAGCGCTACCATTGCCACATTGCTCCAATGCTGCAGACGGGAATGCAGCTCCAGTCCTTCTATACCATCCCAAAACGCTGGCGCCCTGTGCTGATCGATGCCATGCTCTGTATTCGGGGAACGTATACACTCTTATTTCCCCATGCTCTTTCGAACAGTAGCGATCGGCGCTAATCGATACCCGTCTATGGCTGCGACTCCGTCTATATCGTTGAAGCGCCGTTGCAATGGTAGCGTGTCGTCGCGAAGTATGATCCCTGCCTCAGCGACCAACGACGGAAGGATGCTAGGGGGGGGGACGTCTGACGGTACACCCCGCTCACGTCCCAAGCGAACTCTCTTTTTGACTAATGATTAATCAGTGGCGCCGAAACCTGATATATTTGACACTCAGCTCAGGACCTCGGAAAAAAAAGTTCGCAACGAAGCATTTCTTAGGGGTGATCAATGCCTTTTTTAAAATTCAGAAAACGACTACAAAATCGAATGAATGCGAAAATCGGAATCGTCAGAATTTTTAGTGTCGTTATCTCCTCACTATTGAACTAACAATTCTAACTGTTTCCAGATGGCTGAGACATCGTCGTATCAAAGATCCGCAGGCGAATCATGAGAAGTTTGAACGACTACTGTTTGATATCGGACAAGAACCAGCATGGTTACGCAGCTATACCCGATCACAACAAAAGCAAAACGGGAAAGAGCGGACAGGCTCTTGGAAAGATCAAACAACAACAGTCTAGTTCATTGCTGTCATCAGTGTACAGCTGATATCAATGTAACTTATCGGGACGGTATCAGGAGGCGTGAATGAACTCGTTTTTTACCAATGGTTGTTTTCTACCTGGTCGCGGCTACTATTGGTAGAAAACGCAGGCGCGGGTACGCTCGTTACGCGCCTCTTGACACCGCCTCGTCGGATTGCGAGGACATCAACTGCAACTCAACATCCTCATGGCAGAGATTCCCCTATCGATTCTCCTTTGATTCGTTCTCATCTTAACCTTACTGATTTTATCTAGTAACTTCATTTGCTTTCGAAACGGGTGTTTTGGGTTTCTCGTGTTGGTGAAGATAAATTTCCGAGCTCTAACCGTCCTGAAAACACGGGTTGAGCTTTCTACAGCAACTTGTAGCATTGCGCGCTTGTTGAATCATCGCAAAACAGAACGATGCGTTCCGAGTTACCGGAGTATAGCCGCTCCGCGACCGCTCGCCTTCCGGCAGGGCAATCTGCTCTGGAAGGACTCTACGCTATCTACGTGTCGATTTCAGGAAAAGAATTTTGCTTCACTTGTCAAGCTTTACGTTTCACTTACCTCCTGCTCACTTGCCATTACAGCAGCACTTTCTTTCCATAGAATATAATTACTAGTCCATTTGCACGGTGACTCGATTGCCTTAGCTGATAGACACCATATGGTTAATGAGCTGAAATTGTGATCTGTATGAATCCTCGTATGTTGCCAAATTTCATTTATCAAAAAAATAAATTTGAAAAATAAATTTTATCTATGCTACTCGTGATTTTCTGTCCACATAACTGTGTTGGACCTTTCCACCAGAGGTGTTCGAAAAGCAGGGGTGTGTGACAAGACAATCGTAATACGCCGCGTTCACGGGTATGGCGAACGACCCGTGAACGCGGCGTATTACGCGATCGCCGCGCCCGTGAGAAGCGATTGTCCTGCCTGGCCTTTTCAGTATGTATTTTGAAGGGACAGGGAAGATCGATATCGCTCGGCATGGAGTTCAACGAGTTTCTCTGCTGCAATCGATATACCGATTCACATCGATTGTCGCCGCTTGATGGGTCACGCGCGACGGTGCGGCATCTGCGGTTGTCTTGAATGTTGAATTGTTTGGAAATATTACTAGTGCTAATTCTAATTACTACTAATAGTATCGACTCTTTTTTTATTTCCTAGTGGATGTACAGCCAGGGTATAGCATCGTGAGTAAATGGTGGTGCCAGTACGAGGGTCTTGATACGACTTCTCCCCTTGCTCAGCACCTACCTAACCTACCAGTTTCCCTCATTTTCCACTCTTTCACCCAGAGATTTTCCGTCGAGTCGGGGAGGGGTAGCTAGTATGAAACGGAAATTATCTTAGATTCCTCTAGCTTACTACCACTTTTTCCGGATTTCCCCAAAATTTCCCTTCTTTAACCCAAAACTTTTGTTGTCGTCGAGCGGGGAGGGAGGAGAGGGGGGGGGGGGTATCAAGTATACACAAAACAGGTAAAAATCACGCGAAAAGTCAACAACCGAGAAAATTTTTTCCCAACGCGGCAAACTTCTAAGCCACATACGACCCCCCCCCTCCCTCCCCAGCCGGAAAGCCGTTATCTGTTTCACACAACGATGCTGTACTCGGTGTACAGCTGTCCTCCGCAGCTTGCCACCACACCATCTCTGCCCTCTGGTACTAATGAAGAAGAATTGGAAGAAGTTCTACTGAATACGCCGCTACTCGTTCCGAATCTGATGGTCTCTCGAAATGAAATTTGCGAGGGGAGGGGGGGGGGAGGAGGAGCAATCCGGCTGAAGGGGGCTCCCTTTCTAAGAAGTGTGATGGGAAAAGTTTTTTTCGCTCACCAGAGATATTAGTTCACCCACCCTGAACTTCCCTCCTAGGTCCGGACAAAAATCCTCCACTGTGGGAATCTCAGTTGCCCCTCCCATTATAGATTAGCGCCGAAAATTGAATAGGAACGCAGCCAGAGATGTATACGAGAAAATATACCCTTTGCGAACTATGGATGTGCAACTAAAAAGGGAATTTGTGACACACCGACCACATCCCTTGCGAGAGCTTTAGCGCGCCGTGTGGCGCCTAATAGGATTACAGGCCATTGCATGAACGTTCACATGTGCGTTGGTTTCAACGCGAACGCATGATCTGCGCGTTATATGGGATGGATGCCAGAAATCTATAATTATAGTGCAATTACAAACAAAACGTAAACGATTACAAATATTCAGAAAAGCCTGAGATATGGGTAATCTATATTCGAAAATATTTCAAATTTGAAGTGAAATTCCAGATGTCCTCTTGCCCAGGCCACTAATCCTTTTTCCTTGCGGGACGGTGAATTGGCATCACATTTGTCTGAGAGGATAAGAATCTGACTTGTACATCGGCTGGCCCCCGCAAGTCATTGTATAGGCCACATCGCATTCAATAAGCCACTACGATTCTGAATGGAAGTAGAATGCGTGCCGCATCCCACAAAGGGATTGATTAAGGGCGAAGACTTTATCCTCTCATATAGCGCCTATACAACGACCCCCTTCCGAACCATAACGACTTTATTATCATAGATCTTCGTAGTTCTTCCAGAAAAGCAGTGTCAAAACACCACTACTCGTTTCCGTAACACGTAACTGGTAAGAACGTACGGACATCATCGCGGTGGGTGGCTTAACGGTGTCAGTAAACCCTCATCTCAAAAGAAAAAGGGTCCTGGAGACCCCACCCATAGCTTACGTATGTACACTCGAAATCTTTGAGACATGGTAGGCGTGGCTGCGTACTTCAACGAAACTCGGCGCTAGCTGTGCTCATGGTGGAGGTATTTTAATTTTCAAACAATTGTGGTCGTGTCTCTGTCGAGCTCAGAATATGATGACAGCTGTCTCAAACTGGTCTATCCCACGAGTAACCCATTCTGGGCCATGCCTATTCCGTCTCAGATAAGGAGTGTACCTACCATTTGAAGAATTTTTCAAAATTTTGTCATCAAGCCGATAGAGGGTTAGACATACCTCTAGTCAACTATCAGTTTCGGCGCACTGCCAACCTAGGAATGGTATATAATGCGGTTGAGACGGGAAAAATCAATAATATTGAGAAAAGCTTCCATCAAGATCAAATACGAGCCCTCCTCCAACGACTAAATAAGATCTCCCTTATTTCGCACAATGTTACCGCACACTGAACAGGAGGTTGAATGCTTTAACCCTTACATCTAGCACCACCCCTTTCTAGGGATCACACCTTTCCTATAAGCGCTGAGTAACAGAGTACAATGCACCACCAGAATGAGTGAACCACCCAGTACCTGCATGAAGACCTCCCAAGAAAGCTAGCCCTGACGAGCAAGCATGACGCTTCACTAGGACACGTCGTGAGTTGGGAGATCTCCAGCGGTGGGTTGGTGGGAGGAGAGGGGAGGGGGGGGGGACAAATCTGTTCCGAGAAATTTTTTTTGATAATTGATATCTCTTGTTTCACGGACGCTATCACGGCTATACCACCCTAGTTGGTGGCGCCGCCAAAGTTCTATTCAAGTAAGTTGGAAGTAGTGATCGGTCGCTGACGACCGTTCCCCCTCCCCGCTCGACAGCCAATCTTGGGGAAGAACTAGACAATTTTAAGGCAAATCCGAAAAAAAATGGAAAAAATGGTGGGAAGTTGGAAAAATTCCTCGGAAAGTGGGAGCCGGATGGGGTAAGGGTGTCGTATCCGAGCAGTGAATTACGGAGGGTAGTAATTTGCGAAAACCTCCCCCTGCGACAGGACGTGCCAGCGCTCCACATTTCGACCTGGCCTTCGTGGTTTCCATTTCCGTCGGATGTGTGCGGTTGCGTCGCGGTCAATACAAACGCACTCGATAGGGTCATCGTCCTGGACGCCGCTTCTTTCATTCACGCGGAATCATCGTTCACATTGATCTCGTATTCAAAGTTCGTATTTTATTCAATACATCGCAGCTGGACTATTTCTAAGTGGAGCTAAACCACCGTTGCAGCTCACCCTCAGAAACTTATTCTTCAGTGTATGAGTCTTGTTTCTACGTTCGCTCCAGTTTTACTCTCATTCATAACAACAATTTGAGGATTACTGATTGCATTTATTACTTTTATGAGTCTCTGTTCCCTGGTTTACAGCTATTAAATTTTCCTTGAGACTAACAGCTAATTTTTCTCTAAAAAAGTAAGTCAGTCGCAGTTCTTGCGTTGTGAAAATAAATCTCGAGAAAATTCCCAAGTTCTGCCTGGGTCTTCGCTTTTCGTTTCATACCTTATAATTCACTTTTTAGATTTTCGTGTCCTGCTCTAACCATTTCCAGGTTCTTACTTTCTGAAAACAGGGTTTTTCCTGCGAAGTCAAGAAACATACTTCCTTGTATTACTTTTGTTCGTTACTCACTCGAGAAGACAATCGTGAACTTGCGTAGAATTCATTTGTTTTAGTGGGTAGCGGTGTCGTCCGTCCACTCCAACGTCCTTTCCGTGTAAGTTTGACGTATTTTCTTGCTTTGCAATGTCCTTATCGTGCAATCGATTGATTGTTGCACAGTCGAGCCATTCGATTTTATGTTTTTCTGTTTCTGTTATATTTTTGCATTGAATTTTTCGTTGGGGAAGTTGCGGTGTTAATGATATCGCCAGTTGAGGCGGACGGTGTACTGGCACGCGGCACGCTTGCCACGCTTCCGGTCCGGAGATCAAATCATGGATCGACTCCCGCACGGGCCAACCAGGCATGCTGCCTCCCCCGCAGAACGGTTAATTGGTAATAGATCCGTCTGGGAGGATAGGAACTGTGCCTTGTACATCACTGGCCTCTCAAGTAGCTATGTAGACCACCCACAGCGTATCCAATAAGCCACTACATCTGAGTGAAAGTGGAATGCGTGGCGTGTTCAAAAAACAGGAATGATCTGCGGCAGATACCTTATACTTTTGTAATGTCACGCAATATCGTCTATTATCGTGCAAATTGCTTTCTGTAAT